ACACACACACACACACACACACACACACACACACACACACACACACACACACACACACACACACACACACACACACACACACACACACACTATAACACAATATGCTTGACAATGTTGAATTTCACACTGATTGGCTGATGCTATATGAGGGGAAATAAATGAGTTGGAGAAGTTAAGTAATGCAAAGAGATCCACAAATTGACGGTTGCAATATTGAAACACATTCAGAGCCTGACACCTGTTTTCAAAAGTGTTGCAAATTCAACCAGGACTAAAATGTTTATGGTTTAAGATCAACAAGCTGTCACATCATGTCACTTTCATTTATTACCACTTCTATCCCATTTGAGGGCGTTTACAGCACACTGTCGTGGTGTTGTAGTTAATCTTATTCATCTGTCTGCACAACCTAATACGATGCATGATGTTTTACACAATTTTGAAATGATTTGGGTCTCCTAGTCCAGATCACATCCATCAGCGGTGCCCACAGTGCATCTAGAGTGACAGCTCCACACAGGAAGTCTGTCCCTCTGGCCTTAATCTGATTGGACAAGGCCTGTCATGTCTGTTAACTGATTCGAGGGTCAGGAATGGACAAACTGGCAGTGTGCATACTAAAGCAGATGCTAATTAGGACCTGAACATCAATCTTCATCACTGTGTTAAGACAGAGGGAGGGCAGAGGGAAGGGGTAGTGTAGGAGAGAGAAGAGAGAAAAAGCAGTTACTATGAAGGACCTGAATAAGGTTGGCTATTGGTTTGGGGAGCAAATGATATTCTCTTCAACACTGAAGATCAAATTATTTAGCATTTTAGTAGACCAGACTATCTTCTTCCTGTCTTTTTCATTTTAATATTTTCCTGTTGACTGCCAATGGCTGTCAAAAGCCTAAAAGAGTGGTAAAAAAAGTAGGTACTTAAGTGTGAGTAAGTATTATTTTCCCCAGAACTGAACTAAGAGAGGTGTTATTTTATGCATTTTGCATCAATCTGTGTGTGTAAAAAAAGTGCTCCTCAGCACAGAGTGTACTACCCAAGGTAAATAAAAAAGAAAAAGAAAAAAAGACTTCAGCAGTTCGATAGACAAACAGATGCCCGAATAAGCTGCATGTGAGAGATGCACAAACAGTGGCTCTTAGTTCAATGGCAGCTCCTTTAATTAAGTGCAACTTAATTAAGATGCTATCCAGAGAAAATAGCCAGCACTGCTGATGTGAACTACTGACAAATGCTGCAAAGTTACATTTATGTTTCTCTTTGGTACATAGCCACGGAGGAAGATTCACCTCATGTGCAAGAGGTGGTACTGATAAACAGGGACAATAATTTATGGTGTATGTATTGTAAACATATTTATATCAACCTAATGTTTACCTCAGTAGGTTAAATCATCATGGTCAAGTTATATAATATTACAAGATACTTGCATCAGCTTATTTAGATCTAGTTAAGATGACTGAACTAAAATGTGTCAGCCAAACAAAAAATCAAGTTGTCCAGATTACATTTACTGACCAGGTTTTGTTTTACTACAGTGTGGACTTCAGACGCTCTCCCAGGGTGCTCAGACGGCACGCAGTCAGGTTCATGCCCTACTTCATGTTCTAAGTCAGTTTTCTGTTTGTTTGTTTAACATTAACGAGTTAATTGAATGTGAACAAACCTCAAGTGTCACTTTTTGTTCTGACATTTTTTGTTCCTTATTCCCAGCAGCATGCAGCATGATCGGTGATTGCCACGCACCTGTGCTGAGTCTTGGGCTGAGCATA